TTTTTTCTTCTCTCTCTCTCTCTCTCTCTTTTTTTTTTTTTTTTTTTTAAGCCTCTTCAGTATTTTAAACATTCCTATCTGTGGGAAAGGAGGTGACAGAACTGATTCTTGTCAACAGCTGATTAGGAATGCCAGGAGAAAGAAGCTACTTTGGGTTCTTTAAGTTATTACAAGGGAAAAAGCTCTCTATCATGCCTTTGTTTTGTACTTCTTATGACAGGGATCTAAGTGCCTCCTAGCTGTATAATATGGCAACTAGTTTAGGAGACACCTTATGAGGTCAGCATCTTTTAAAGCAGTATCACTAAAGAGACAGAAGCCCTGCAGCAACTATGAGAGTCCATCTCAAGTAAACTAGTAAGAGGCGGGAAGCCCCATTGCTGTGAATCACAGAATTCCTTCAGCAAAACAAAACATAGAAAAATGTAATTATGTGTTGCAATTGCAAAGTACCTTGATTGTTATACTGATCTATTTGAGGCATTCTGTTCTACTTTCATGTTATTTTGCCTTTGTAGGTATTGAAGAAGGAAAGAAGCATGTTGAAAAAACTGTATTGAAGTACAAAGAAATCATTAATTCTGTTGAAGAGTTGTGTACATCTCTGAGAGAACTTAAGGAGATAAAGGTATTTTTTTTAATCTGGAGAATGTATTGCATCTACATCATCTTGTTGGGCTTAATGTCTGAAATGGTGTTTTTAGCTGAGGATCGTCTATGGCAGTATGAAACACTTCTTAATTTTCTCTTTCCCACTACCTTTGGTAATGATTGTCATGAATCAATGAAGTGCTACTTGTTTCTGCACTAAATATTTCTTCTATGTTTCTTTTTGTTTGCTTCTTTCAAAGCTGTTACTGCTTTCAAGTAACCTTTAGAGGAAAATGTCACAATTTCTTTGATTATCTAGACAAATGCGCTTTTTTTCATATTTCTTATTCCTTTGATACTAAAATACAGGTAACTGCTAGATATACAAAATGCCAAACAACTTAGCTTGGCTCCCTCTTGGAGAAGATATCCCAAAAGTTGTGTTAAAACCAAAGTAATCTGAGTGAGAAAAGCATTGCTTTTGACTTAAAAATTAGAGAAAACCACAACATCTTTAGTTTCATATTCTGATAAGCTGCTTTAGGTGTAATTAATTATCATATATTAAGTGAGGAGGAATTATGGAACACAACTGATAGGGCTAGATTTCTGTAATGAAGAACTGCTACTCCACCTACCCATTCTCAAAGTAATACTTGAAAAATGTCCCACATATAGCAGTAGCTGATGAGTTAATTCTTCTGTGAAGTTGAAAAAGCTAAGATGCTTAAATATCCTGCTTTTATTGATAGTTAATGTTATTTCACTTTTCTTTGATGGAATTATACTATAAAATTGACAAACATTCAGATTATTCATTAATATCCTTAAAAGTGGTAAGAGATGCCAAAAACAAAAATGAGTTCCAAAATTCATTAAGTGAGTGGAAAGAAGGCTTTGCCTTGCACCATGACTATAAAGAAACTTCAACAAAAACTCCAATTCAGTTTTTCTAAGTTCTTCTCCCAGCCCATGTATTACATAAATGCTATTGTGTGCAGCATGCTAGCCCCAGGTTCTGTCAAAACAGGGCTTGACCCTTTCATCTTTTCTGCTTGCTCAACATAATATGGTCTTTTCAAGAGAAGTGGAATTTCAAACTAATTGTAATAGTTTTGTCTAATTTCCATAGAATCATAGAATATCCTGAGTTGCAAGAGACTCACAAGGATCATCAAAGTCCAATTCCAAATTTTGATAAGTTTAAAGTTATCTGTCATCAAAGAGATGGAGAACACTTTTTTTCACACAGAACCATTCCTAAACTCTAGTGAAAGTTTAGTTTTCCTGAAATCCTGATATTTTTCTGGATTTGTTGTTTATCCTCTTTTTTTTTCCTAATAGTTTTACTTTCTTAATCCTTTGTTTCCCCTTTCTGAAGTTGGGTACAAAATTGGTTAATATTCCTCAGATTCTTGAATAGCCACTGGAATTCTTCAGTCTTTGGTATCCTGTAATTTCCTTGCCTCAGAAAAGATTCCTTCAGCTTTGAAAAATATTGTCTTTGCTTATCCAGGAATGAATTAATCAGGTTTTGCTGCATTTCCTTGCCATAAGCAATTTACACCTGTGCTGATGACAGGTTTTAGATAAGACTTCACTTCTTCTTTATTTTTTTTTTCTTCCCTCTGCTGTACAGAGCATAAGTCAGTGTGCAGCCAACAATTGCTATTTTCTATTGGGTGTAATCTTACTTGATTTTCTCTTCACATGGCAGAAAGTTGAATTTTCTGAAGAGTTGGTTACTGTTAAAAAAGAAGAAATAAATGGTCAAGAAGCATGTGAGACTATTAAAGACAAAGTTGTGGAGCAAAAGCAGCAGGTTAGTTATATGCTTTTTTTTTTAATAACTAGAAGTATGTTTCTTAAAGGACTTTGTGTATTGCTGGAAAGTTTCTTGCTTTTCTGTCTTGAAGCCTCTGTTAAGATGGGTTTTATCAGTGCAGTCTTCATCAATTGTTTTTCAGTTATCCCTTTTCCTTCTATACAATCCACATATTCTTCCCTTTGAGTTTTCTTTTGTAGTGTTCTTTTAACATGCCTATATATCTCCTTTTGTTTTCTAAAATAATATTATTTTCTTAATCTTTTACCAACTTTTCTTTGATCCTATTGCCACAATACCTTTAGTGTAGATGTCTTCTTTGTGTCCATTCCTCCTTGAGGAAAGAGTACATTCTGCTGTCTCCTTTGTAATAAGACTAAAGGGAATATGGGAAGTAATAGAGGATACTGTTGTTAGTATGTCCCAGAGCCCTAGTATTCATATGATGCCTAGATATAATTTCTGAAAGTGTTTGATTTATAAGTAATATCCTATGAGAGAAATCTCATAGCTCAGAATTTGAGCTAAGTAATGGTGGAAGTTATGATAATTTGTTGAATCATTAATGTCTTAATCAGGAAAAAAAAGTGGGTTTTTAAAACAATTTTCTTTCAGATGGTGTCAGGTGAATTGCTTACAAATTCAGAAAGCATTGCTGAGAAGAGAAGCAATACTCTGTCTCCTACCAACACTAAACAGGTATCTGTCCGCTGTTCTTGTTAATTTATTTTTAATCAAATTGATGGGCATCATTGTGTACTCTCAAAGGAATTCTACTTCTTACTTTGCTATGTCTCAAAAGTGAGGGCTATTGTTACGGATTGGTGAGCTTTGATTGTATTCTCATTTACAGTATTACCAAAAAACCTGAAAAAACAAGCAATTGATTGAGTTTAACAATAATGGGAATAACAGGAAAGCATTCATAGCAAACATGATGGAACACAACTACAGCTGTCAGCAGTTCAGTGTGACATTGTATCGGATATAATTTGCTATACTGTTGGTATGGCACTATACATCAAATGACAGAACTCAGCATCAAATAGTCATCTTTGCCTTCATCTGAAAACACTTAAGTTCCATTCCAGTTGCCAAAATTCTGTGCAGTGGAGATCAAAAATAAGTTCCAGAGTATGGACTGCGTACATGTTGAGGATGATGCAAAAAGATTAGATAATGAAAGACTGAGTATGCATTTAAAATGGTAAAAAGCGTGTTTTATTCATGGATATATAGTAAATGAATATGAAAGGTTCAAAGTTGTCAAAGAATAAATGAAGCCTTAGAAATACAGTGAATACTAATATCTACGTTTTATGAGATTAATTTACTTTTGCTTAAAGAATGTCTTGAAGGCTTGGCATCCTGAATGCAAATGTAAATCATTTACTGTGGAAAATAGTCTGGTAAATTGGAGTGGGTGCTAATGTATTTAACTCCTTAGAAAGGTAGGATCCATTGGTAACTGATTGAGAGATCTAAAAATTCCATTTTACAAGCTGATAAGGTAGATGAATACTACAAGACATTAAATTGTGATTTTTTTGTAGAAAATCAACTAATAACATTCCCTTCAGTTCAATACAGAATGTCCTGTCATTTGCTGATGAGCCAAAATTAGGCCTAATTAATTCTCTTACCTCCATTCCAAGTCAGTGGGAATTTCACCATTGACTTGGAGCCCCGATTTCACTCAAAATTTTGTGACTGTTCCAAAAAACCTCCTTCAGATCAATCACCTCACCCAGCAGATGTCCATAGCCCTATTTCCTATTTTGCTAAGCCACAGCTTTGTCAATCCTTGTCACACTGTGCCTCAGCTGCCAAGGAGAGAAGTCAAGGATATGCGAAACAGCAAATACCAGATGTGAATTATGGCAACCATGATGCCTCCACCTTTTTCATCACTTCATACTTCAATTAAAGAACTATCAGGCTCTTCTCTCTAGAATTCTGTTTCCATTCTTTTGAAGGAAAGACCTGGTCCATCTCCAGCCTCCTTGCCTAATGGACCAGCCATCTCTAATTTTTTGTATACTTCTTCAAGCTACTTTTGCAGTATTAATTTGGTTCAAATATAACACTCTAAAAAGTGAACTAGACCTTCTCATGGCACATTGATCCTCCTGCTTCTTTAATCCCAAGTGACACACCAGGACTGAAAGTTCTCCTACTGTCAAAGCCTATATGACAGCTCGCTCACTCGCTGCCCACCTGTCATTCTTTCCCACAGCATTTTCCCCTGAGTCATTTTCCAGCTCTTCAGGGTTCAGAGTTCATGATAGGCTGCTTCTGGAAAACACATTTACTAGTCAGACTTGGAATTCATCCTACAACTGAATTGAATTATTTGGTAAAATAGACACAGTAAAATCCCAACCTTCTTCCAGTCATTTATTCATGGATCTGGCATGAATCATATGGCTTTGAAAAAACAAATGTAGTAACTTGGAAAAACGTCTGTATTAAAACTAACATATCTAAAGGACCAGGGCAGATGTGAGGTTCTATTACTTCTGTGCACTAATATTAGCTTATATTTAGAGCAGTAAGGCCAAAAGAAACACAAAACAAATGTACTGCTACACTTTTGTACTGGATGCTGCCAAAGAGACCTGGTTTTTAAAGCAATGGCATCCAGTGTATCACTCAGTTGATTTGAGTGGGCTTAAATTAATGTATTTTTGTATTTTAATGTATTTATTGGTGATAGACACCTTGCTTGGTAGATTACATATTTTTGTATAGAACTCAGCAATGAAAGAATAGCATAAGAAAACATTATGAATACCTTTGCTGAGAGCCTTTGCACAAAGGAAATCTGAATATGTGATTACACATTCATATAAAAATCAAGAGGCAGAGAAGTAATTAACAATTCAGATAATGTTTCTAATGCTTTGTGATTAAAATTAATGCACATCTGCCTCACCTAATTCTCTTTGGAACATGATGAAAGGGAATTTTTTTTTTCTGTATCCAAGATAGCATAAAAATAATGTTAACATTGCTTTCCCTTTTAATATTTGGCAGGATTGTGGAACAGCTGGCAACATTTAAAAAAATGGAGGAAATATAAAATGCTTGGAAAATATTATAAAGATGTTGGTTTAATTGTTTGACTGTTGAGCATGACTATTTTTCTCAAAGAATTAAAGTCCAGCAACTTGACAGTTAATACTAATATTAACAGTCAAGTTAATATATTTTTATCACTATGCAATTGTTTCCCATTTAGATGTAATTAGGCCACCTCCTCCCTCACCTTCCCCTTACAAATGTTCCTATAAACAGCACCTACAGGAAATCCACAGATTGTCGTTTGTTTATAGAAAGAGGTAATTTTTCTTTCACTGTTACTGTTATAATACATGCCTATATATAATTAGAATAATGTCTTCTAGAATCTATTTGAACACTTTGAAATTCCAGTTCGCTGCTGCAACATTTTCTGACAAATTAGCTTTTCCCACACATTTCCTTTTGCTCAGAATGCATTAGGCTTAATTAGAAGAAATATTATTGCTAGATTCTGCACGAGGGAATGTGTTGAATGATAACTCTTTCTCTCTTCTTGTTTTTCTTTTTCTTCTTTCCTTTCTCTTCTTTCCTCTCCAAATTCAAGGAGAGGAATATATTAGCTGATATTCCAGTTATCTGTCCAGCTGGTGAGGATCTTATTTCACAGGATACAGAGCTGTCATCTTCAGCCAAAGAGGATAGTTTACAGACTGGATTCCTGACAGAAGAAATACTCTCCGGAGATGAATATGAATGTATATCACCTGATGATATCTCTTTGCCACCACTTTCTGAGACACCAGAATCCAACCTCTTACATTCTGAAACAGAGCTAGAAGATCAGTGCTGTTGTAGTTCTCATAGTCTGCATGTCAGCTCCTATAGCTTGCAAATGCAGAAAACCACTAGTATGAAAAAAATGGTGGAAGTGTCTGATCTCTTAACAAATTCTGCTTTTGCTGATGCTACAATTAATAGAATAGAAAGCCCATCAGATCACTCTGAGAAGTTTTGTATCTCTCTAACAGATTCTGATGCAAAAACCAGAGTGGTATCTCCTTTGACTTGCAGCTTGGAAGGAATATCTGAAACTAGCACTGCTTCTTGCACTATAAAAGCCAAACCAGTATTTAGCACGATGGGTGAAGTGTGCAAAACACATTTACAACACCTTGAACTTCACAAAAGCACGGCAGAATCACAAGAACAATCGCATGACTTCAATAACTGTACTAAAACCCGGGACAGGCTGCATGCTTTGCCTGATGCATTCTCAGGTTTCGTGTTTCAATCAGACGCCACCAGAAGCTGTCAGAGGCAGATGGTTACCCGAGAAGAGATTAAAAGTTCATCAGAAAAGAACAGCATGGCCAGCCTAACTGGACAGGCGCCTAATTTCTCCCAGATTCTGTCTAACAAAAGCGTCATGGAAGGTTCTCCGGTAACTTTGGAAGTAGAAGTAACGGGATTCCCAGAGCCTACATTGACATGGTGGGTAGCTTACAATGAGAAGTAGTAAATATACCTAGTAGCAAGCCACCATGAACCACTTATAACCAAATCAGTTATTCTAGAGACTAGAATAAATGGCTTGTATCCTTTCTAGTCCACACTGCTGCATGATTTCCACCTTCAAAATTCCTATTGACAATTAACCAACTTGAAATAATCTCCCTGTACTTAATTTTACAAATGAGAGTATCAAACTACTCCAAGCATATATCATATAGTTTCAATATTCTAGAATATCACAACTCACTTGTTCAATAATTTCTTAAAATAATTGCACACTACAGATTTAGCAGAAATAAATTCATTTGCATTTTCTCAGGATCTGGGCACTATGTATGGACAGACACATAGATGTGTGTGCACATTAAAGTATTTATATAGTGACTACATATATATTAAGATAGGTACACATTTACAAATATGTGAGAGTCAGTTGTCAAAAACAAGAGGTTACAGGTTAAAAAATCCACCTAAACATCTACATTAAGAGAATCAGGTTTATATGATATATTTATGTGCAATCTCTCTTCATTGCTATATGTCTATTTAGATTACTTTATACTGCATTTGTGAGAAGTACAGATGATGTAATATAAACTTTTAGGATGACTCTTCCCTACCAAAAGGAATAGGGACTAGAAGAGGGACAGGATTTCAAGATTTTGGTAATAGTTCTATATGTTTTGGCATTCCTCCATTTTTACCTCATTTGCCTTTTCTCCGCTTATTCCATTAGCCTTTCACAATGGAGGCCTTTCTTTTAATGTATTAATATTAAATATGCCTCTTACTGGAAAAATTTTGATGTTAATATTATTATCACACATTTGAAGAATTAAACTGTAAGTTTTTGGTAAACTGAAATTTCTTCTGTTGCACTGAGAAAAATACTGGACACTGCAACCTTGGTGCTATACTCTGTTGGTATCAATAAAGTTACCTTGTTTTAAATCCCAGTATTGCACAGATTGAGGAATATTATTGGTGAAACAAGTGATACCTTAATTTTATTGTAAGAAAGCATTAATTTGAAAGCTTGAAAATATACGCACTGTTGATATATTATCTTTAAAAAAAAGTAGCATTAAACTGGAATCATTTTGCAATTTAAAAATTCATGGATATAGAAAAAAGACTTTTTTAAATTAAAAATTAATCAATAACATGTATTTTGTACTGATATAAACATTTTTATTAGATATACATGTGGAAAAATATTTCTGTGGTTGTGTTAGGTTAAATGTAACTTATGCTGAAACATCACAAGGCAAGAAGAGACAGGATTTTCTCTAATTTCTAATATGTAGATCAGGATTCAATACCAGTACATAGTGACAGGACCTCAAGTGTTAGAATATGACACCAGTTCTCTGAAGTAACTCCTGATGCATTGTTCTATCCTGTTTGAAGGTGTGAGCTAAGTAAACATTAAATGGGCTGGGATGGAGGAAGGTCCTTGGCTGTCCTTTATAGTGAAGACACAAGTTCAGAATATTTGTATGTTGAGCCTTAAGAGCTATTCATGAGTTGGATGTGGGTTGACTCAATACTTTACTAGCAAAAATACTGCAGTGCAAAACTGAGGGCCCAGGCCTTTATGTAACCTCTCTAATACTGCAGTGAGATAATTGTGACTTGTTCATTGAAAACCATTTTCAGAACTACATTTTTTAATGTTAAGAATGTATTATCCAGCAATTTACATTGTTTAACTGTTCATCCATATTGACAGATATGAGAAATGAGAGCATAGCAGTGAGCTCTATCTCTTGCTGTCAATGTAGGGCTATAGGGATTGTCTGAATTTGCAAAGTTCTGTGTGGCATACGGTGATATAACTCTGACTTGAAAACTGACTCTCTGCTTCAGGTACAAGGAGGGCCAGAAACTGACTGCAGATGAGCACTTAAAGCTTTTACAAAAGGAGACAAAGCATACTTTGTTCATTCAGAAGGTGTGTGATAAAGATGCTGGCCTCTATGTTGCTCGGGCTAAAAATTTGAACGGCACTATCTCATCCAGTGCCATTCTTCACGTGAAAGGTAACAGGCCACTTATTACAAGAATAGACTGGATTATGCTGTGTGTCATCTATATTAGTGTATCACTAATGTACTGGCTATTCACGAAATAAGTACAGTATCGACTGCACCAGACTTAATTCTCACATGCTAAGACAACATTAAATTGATTTTCTTGCACTGCATCTTTCACAATATGTACAAAACCACTTTGATGGCACAATGGATATATTACTTGTTACCAGTATTATGTGCTTGTTTTACTTTCTCAGAGGGATGTTGACATAAAAAAAGTTATGAAGATTTTCTAGAATCTGAGGCTGAGTTTTGCTTTCTGAATCTGAGGCTGAGTTTCGCTTTCTAAAATTGTTGGCATTACAAAGTGTTGGAAACAGTTGAAGGGTTTGAATGTCAATATACACCCAGGTAGTGTTCCAACTGATGTATATTTTATGATTTTTTTTAAACATAGACTGTATTATTTCCAACCATGTTATTTTCTTATATACTTTAAAAAAATAATTGTAGGATAAAGCTTCTTACCACTCATGGTGAACTGACGTAGATCAGATTTAAATCTGTCTCAGCCCAGCACACAGTCTCCACAAAGGAAAGGTGCAGCAGTTCCAATAGAGTTGTGATTGTGCTACAGAATTGACCCAGAATCCTCAGGATTTGTCTAACACACAGTAGACCAAACGTTTACAAAATGAAATGTTCCAGCGTACCAGTCAGCTTAAGTAGATGGCTGATCCTTGCTCGGCCTTCTAATAAAATTAAAGATACACATATTTCTAATAACCCTCTAAATGGTTAGTATAAGACAAGAAAGTTATTAATTTAAAATTTTTGACACACTAATTTCAAGCAAAATCAACCAAATTGGGGGAATATTCAAAAGTGTATTCAAATTTTTAAAAAATAAAGGGTCTGTCAAATATAATTCTCCTAAATGTCAAAGCAGTAAATCCAAACCGAACTTTGCCTACAAGTTGCATTTCATTCTTGACAAGGACAACCACAACTATTCTTTTTTAATTAAAGTTCTAATTTGTTTAAATATTGCATAAAAATGACTTAACAGTGCCAAGGGAAGACTTAATTTATAAATCCTCCAGTATAACTTAATTCTTTAACTTCAGTATTTGTTGTATTTGTGCAGTAAAAAGAGTTGATAAACAGATACATGATTTTTTCGTGCATCTTTTGCTTCCAGCTTTTATGTTACAACAACATTGGTATGGAAAATTTATAGAGAGGAAATATTTACCTCTTGCGTAATTTCCTGGAATGAAGTAAGCCTTTTACTGTGTAGCATGCTATGAGCAGAATATATATTGCAAATTGCCACAGGTCAGTGAGATGGAAGACTGACATTTAAACATTTTGTCCCAGTGACTGCAACTTTATTAAAATTCTTGTAACTTTGAAAAAGAAGTTCCCAAGATGATATAACTTCACAGCAATATGAGAGGGAGCAGGAGGAGGAGGTGGTGAGCAGATGGGGGTACAAATAAATTCTAACTAAAATTGATACTACGTTTAATGAACCACTTTCTAAGTTCCATCATATCCAAAAAATGTAGATTTGTACGAATTTTCTTAGGTATAAATGTCACCTGTTTTCCTAAAGTGTATTTGTCATTTCACAATAAAGCTAATTTTAATGATTAATATGATTTTGAATTTTTCAGTTACCGTAAAAATAAAATGTGACTTTATGTATGGTTGTTATAAACATGCGGCAAAGAACTTATGCGACCAAGCTGACTTGCATAAATGGTACATTAAGCAATATTTTGCTGTAAGGTTTTGCCTTCTACAGAGCTACCAGTGCTTGACAATTCTATCCTGTTCTTGTAGCATTCATTTTCTGTTTTGAAAGATGAGCCTTCTAGGTCACGGCTGCCCTTCAATCCTCTGGTTTTACTGAGAGTTGCCAACATTCAAAAATTAAGTGATGTTCTTTTGACATATTCTAAGTAACTTTATGTAATAGTCAACTCACTTTTGAGAATGTTGTCATATTTGCATGTCAGTTATTATAATTATTAAATGCAAAAAGGTATAAATATAAGGCCAGAAATTGCCATAGCACGTCTTTAGATCTTAATAACTCATTGTAGAAGCACATAATACCCTTGTTTGGTAAACCTTTTCTCTGAGAACTTTAACATTTCTGTGGATTTTAGATTAACAAAATTTGATTTTTGTGAGTATGATATTACATCTGTTTTCAAACAGGAATAGTTTTAAATGGACAATTTTTAATGGATGAGTGGCTACCAGCCACATTTTTAATTGCTGCAAGAAACAAGATTTTAAAAAGAGTGATTAGAGGTACAAGAGGCACAGCAGGACACTGAAAGTCTCCTGGTTTTAATGCTTTGCTTTGTAAACGAAGATGTACTCAACACTGATTACTGCTGTGTTGGCAGTCTGGGTTTAAATGCTCTTTATTTAAGGACTCTAATGAATAACCAAAAAAAAAATTTCCTGGAAAATTCCTGCTGTTTTCTGTTCAGATAATCTAAAAAAAAAAAAAAAAAAAGAAAAAAAAGAGTGACAGTGATGTAGTCTCACGAGGCACTAATATTTCTCTGAAGGAAAAGAACACTCATTCTGTTTCAGCAGTAATTTTAACATAATGCTTCCCCCCCTCGTGGTTTATTTTCTAGTTCATTTTATGCATGCTTCTCTTCTTCCTTCTTTTAACCATAATGTAGAAGCAGGGAATACATGTAGGTATGTTGTGTTGGTTCTTTCTTGTTTTATAGTGCTAATTTCGCCTCTTCACAGTCACAGTTTCAAACCTATATTTACTTCAAGACCCCAAAATGATTATATCTTCCTGATTGCTCTTTTATAGAGCAGATTTAAGTCTCAGTCCCTCCATCCTCACAAGAAAGACATTAGGCATATAACTAGGCTACACTCCCCTCCTCCTTCCCCGTATGCAGACACCCATTAAGAAAGTGGTGAAAGATGCTGCCTGACTACAAGATGTGGAGTCGTGTGAAGGGGTGTTTGCACAAGGTGCGTAAATTTGAAGGGGAAAAGGGATTAATTATTTTCATTTTTCAAGAGAAGCAGCCTGTCTGAGGGCCTAGGTTTGAGTCAGTAGGCAAAGGAAGGATAAGCCATTACTGTGGTTCGCTTTGGATCAGATGTGGCTGGAGCTGCAGTGGAGAATGAACTTCCTCTCAAATGACTGGTAAGGTATGCCTACTTCTGGACCTTTCTCTGGAGACTTTTCTAGGGTAAGCTACTAATTTTTGTGTATGTATTATCTTTTGTGGTCCAGAGGAACTGTGTCTTTAAAAATTATTGCCAAGACTTTAAAGAGGCTACATATGGTATTCAAGGAGACTGGAGCTCTGAATTATGGATACTTCAGATCAGTTGGGTCATCAGACCCACTGCATATTCCTTAATAAAAGGGTCCTTCTGTTTGTGTTAAGAGCTTGACTGAGGCAAAATCTCTAAATTATGAAGTGCAATGTCTTAATTTAGAGCCATACTGAGAAAATACAAAGTCTCTGAGCAGCATGGGGGCATCTGCCTAGCCTAAACTTTTAGAGAAGACAGGGGAAGTTGATAAAATTGGTAATATCACAATTCAAGACATCAGAGATTGGAAATTACATGCCTAGAAAAAAATGATTAAGAATAACTCTGAAGCAAATTAATAAAAATGAAGGCAGCTGAAAACAATTTGGCTTGACTTGGTACTATGTGTGTGTGAGAGAGACTTGGGGCAGGGGTGAAATCTATGTGATAAAGACAGATGCAGGTGATCTCTCCACGTGCAGTTTTTGCATTGCTCCATGTGGATTAGTTTTCCGTGCTGATTCCCCAGTTTGCAGCAGAACTCTACTGGTTCCTACAAATAACTCGTGTAATATTTAATATTTGACAAACTTATTGTCTGAAGCCATAAGAATGAGATTTCAGTGCACTGTCTACCTGATTTTTTTTTCCCCCAAAATGCAGGAAAGGGTCTGTTCTTTCTAGCCTTTGTGGATTCATGGGATGTCCAGCCAAGAAATAATTTGTAATTGACAAGTTGTCTTAAGTTATTCTGAGGCTTTGTTATGATATCATGGGAAAACCATGGTGTAGTATAACCATCCATTCTATTTTGAAGGTTGCTGTCAGAGAATGAACTGTTCTTTTAGCAGACTTTGCTTCCATGTTGAGTACAAACCCGTGCCTGAAAGAGTTATAGAAACTGTCGCTTCATGGTTTTATTTGTGCATACTTTTCCCTTCGCTCTCTAGAAAATGGTTATTTTAGTTTTTATGTTCTGGTGCCTTATTGATATAAAGTCAAGATGGGGTCTGATCATTATCACTATCACCATTCTACCCAGATTTTTTTCAATGGTAAAAACCATCCTGGTATGAGACGCAACCTGACTTCAGAAGGTAATACAAACCACGCAAGTAATGGAATCCAGCCAAAATTATCACAAGGAGTGGCTGATGCTCACTTAATGTTTTCCACTGGAATATAAGCTAATCGTGCTCTGTTTTTGACCTATTGCCAGCTGCCTGCAAAGAGAAGACAGGGGTGTAAGCTCAGTTCTCTTGCTTGAAAGGAAGCTGCAGATCTCAAATTTCTGTGCTTCAGGTGCATGCAATGCAAGGGTGGTGGCAACTTGGACATGCTAACTTTGAACAGCTAAGAACTGAGTTGTTTGAGCTGCTGGGACTGGCTAATACAGACCTTAGGTTAGCACAAGTATGGGAGAGTAAAACTTATATTCTTCTGCTTTTCATTGTGGCCTCAATCCTGTAGTATTTGGAAAAAAACAGAAAAGCAGCTAAGCTTGGAAGCTTATTGCAAGTAAGAGCTTACCTAAGCAGCGGACTTAATACAGTGCCCCAAAATGTCTGCCTCACCATGCCAGCAGGCCCACATTTGGCAAAAATAGCCTGGAGCTCAATATATTTGGGGTTAGAAGTTTATGGGCACCTGCATGAGATATGCTGATTTTTGTTTCATAATAGCACAAAGAAAAAAATTTCTTCATAGAACAGTAGATGGAGTAATGCTGGCATAGCAGTTTCAAACATTTAGCACACATTTCAGTAACTTTCTCTTTCTGAGAAGGGCAGTGATAACTTTTGTTAAATATTATGGAAACATGCCACAATTTATATTAACAAGGAAGAAGGACACATGCTTTATGTTATAGGAATACAAAATGTTCATTTTTTTTTGTAGTGTATGTCTTTGTGTGTTCTTCTGTATGTTAACATGTTGCTTTATATTCTCTGTGTCAAGAATACTAAGTCTGAATTCTGAGGTTGTTTTCTTTTTTACTGTGGCCCTGGAGGTAGAATGTAAGTGGAACTTCAGGTAGTAGTACAGTGATTCAGTAAGTCTAGCTTTACAACTCATTAGGTTACAAGTCACAGTGAGCAATGCTTTTATTCTGTACAAACTGATGGTGATCATTGAAATTTCATCAGTTTTGATGGGTTAATTTTTGTTGCTCAGGCCTTGTACTGGCTCAGATGCCATCTGTCCTTCCACAGCTGGCATGAAGCTAGCACGAAAGCAATCTCATGTGCTTTGGGTGTTAGAGTAGAAAAGCAATTATTTACCTTGATCTGAATCAGATTTGTATTGGATGATCTGGTACATGGTTTCAGCGTTAATGATGGCCAATGACCAGTTAATGATCTTGGTCAAAGTAGTAGAGGCATCACATTCTGACCTTCATGTTGTTGCAAACATAGATAAATTTTCTTATTTTTCAATAAAATTTTTTGACTAAAATAATAGAGGGGGAAGTGAAGAAAGAACATGATGTACAACAATGCACTAAATGCAAAATTTTGCTCTCATGACTTTGTCACTTTAGATTTGTGTGGAGTATTAACTCTTCCACCTTTACTGAAACATAATAATCCACATAGACTTGCCTACTACCTACACAAAGAACATGATTCTTTAGCATTTCCATGAGTCTAATATCACTATACTGATGCATGAAATTTTTGGGTGTGTAATATTAATATTTTCCAACAAATGTTATATTAGATAGATAAACTGGGTCTGCCTATTAGTTGCCTACTGTCTTGCAAACAAGTTGTCCTGAGTTCCAGGCATCAATAAAGGCTCTCTTTGTCTTTCAATGTGGTGAACTTTATGAGAACAGATTTATTTTTCAGTTACTTTAGTTGTGCCTTTTAAAATAAAGTGAATATTGATTTAATTTAATTTTTTTTTCAGTGCAAGGAAAACAGCCAAACTTCATACAAAAGTTTGGACATAGAACTCTACAAGAAGGAGAAGATTTAATTCTGCATTGCACTATACATGGAAAGCCTGAACCACATGTCTGCTGGACAAAGAATGATATCCAAGTGGTATCTGGTGATATCAGTGTATGTTCTAAGGTTCTTGAAATTTTTCTTGGGAGAAAGGTAATTTATTTTGCTTTATGCTACTAATAATCTCCTATGTGCCTTCTCTTGTTTTACAGATTGAGAAATTAGGAGATACCTATTACCTTTTAAAAAGAAATGTAGTCCTTGCTGATACTGGGAAATATGTCTGTCTTGCCAGCAATGAAGTTGGAAAGGCACACTGCTCTGCTTTCGTAACCGTGATAGGTGATTTGTCCTGCCAGCTGCATGCTTTTCAGCACCTTGTTGCCATATTAAATGAGCAACTCGTTTCCACTAATGTACATATTTTGTTTCAGAGAAAAATAAAACCCCAGAAACTCCCAGCGTAACTCAGGCTAAACCAGAATGGAAAGATGGAGACTTTTCAGAAGAAGAGAATGTCACCACGACTGAGCTCATACCAGCCCATGACACAGAATGTGAGAGAGATGATCTCCCAGTAAAGTAATCTGCAACTTACTCAGTGCTACAACTTGTGATGCTGCAATAGCTGTAAGGACCTTAATTTACAAAGCACAAATCAAACACTCTTCCTAATCCTATGAATTTTGGTATAATGGAAATGAAGTCCATAATATGTGACTGCCTTTTTCACTTAATTCTTTATCAAAAGATATGCAATTGTTAGATGAAAGACCTTGTAATACACTAGACAATTGAGTCTATGCAAGGTATTTAAATTTAGTGAAATAATTTTCTTGAAATCTAGGCCTAGATCTTAACCTAGATATTATCGTAAGAGTGAAGAGCTCAAAGACACAAAATATTCCAGAAGTTCAAATTGATGGAACTACATAACCATCTAAGTAAAATTTTTTACTGGACAAGTTTTATTCAGAAGAATAAACCGTAGTCCTAATAGCACAGAAACAGTCATTGTTCATTAATTGAATAAAGATAACAAATCTTCCCACTGTGCAATTCCAGAAGATTAAATAAATGAGATACATGAAGTCACCAGTCCTTGTGACTTCTAGCACAAGATGAAATCTTGCCTCCTCAATTTAGGCTCTGATAAAAAAGAAAGAGCAGTGTTATTTTGTCTTTGAGTTCCTGAGGTTTGTCTATCTAAATGTAGAGAACACAAAATCAGAAAGGAAAACTATTGCATATGTTGATTCAAAAGCTTTGTTTGTGTCATCTTGAGCTGCCTGCAAAGTTTCCTTCATGTCCAGCTGATGAAGCATTGATCCCACATATTTTGTTCAGGGTTATGATTTTGTTTTGGTTTGGGTTTTGTTTTGTTTGTTTGGTTTTGTTTGGGTTTTTGTTGTTGTTGGGTTTTTTTTGTTGGGTTTTTTTTTCTGTATTGCTGTGGTATGCCAGGTATTCCTAAGAAAAAAAAAAAAGGCATGAAAGATCATGGTAAATTTACTTAAGACACATAGAAATTGTATGATTAGAACCTGTAGGCCATACAAAAAGGTCAAATTTATCCTAATTTTTTTCTCATATCTTCTGTTCTTTTAACTAAACTGCCTTCTGGTAGATGAGATTTAAAATTTTTTTTTTTTGTCTGGAATCACTCTTGAGTTGATCTTTAATCTTGTGCAGTCTCAGGATCACAGAGAACTGTCTATGCCACCATTAAAAACAAAAGCAATATTAACTGACCTTTTTCACACAGGTTTAAAGAGAAACTCTGGCTTCAAGGAGTGTATTTTGAACTTGAGGGGCCACAGGAGATTAACTTCAATTTGAGACAGGATCCCCTTCTTCTGCATGATGCAGTGGAACAGAAGATGGACTGAAGTGCAAGATGTCTGATTCCTGAGGGTGTTCGTGTTGTTTGCTGTGTCCATTAGTAGATCCTGGCCATGGGTGAGGAGAAGATGAATCTTTGAGTGCTATCCAATGTATTTCTAGGTTACAATTTGTATTTTGTTTCTTTACAAATAAATCATTACTAAAATTCACTTGTGTACAGCCTTTATTAGGCAGTGATTTATAATTTTTTGTGGTTTGGTTTGTTAGACAAATCTAACAAAAGGTAATGATAGAAAAAAGAAATATTAGCCTTTAAAATTACATATATCTTTGGTCATTTGTCAGTACCCACTATTCTACTCTCCTACAAATTCCATCAATACCATGAATTCCATCAACAGATCTTCCCACTAGTTTATATATGGAATTAGGTTTTAAAACAAAATGAGCTTATTCTTCAGTTTATTAAATATAGGGTGAATTGGCTTATTTCTAACACCTTTGAGACATTTTGAGTAGGCCAGGCACCAAACAGGGTGGTTATTAATATTAGCAAACCTTGTCTAGTGCTTGATTAGTACCGAGTGTCTTCAGGGAAGGTCTCTAAGGCAGGTCTCTAGAGAGACTTCAGGGAAGTCTCTCTAAGGCAGCATAATAGAGAAGTCTTCCACTACATTGCTTCTGCTTTCAGGACTAGATTAGTGTGACAGTACAGTCCATTTCCAGTTGTTGCATGTCATTACAGTCCAAAGGAGTGTTCTGTGGAAGGATATGCTACTTTCAAAGCACATTTTTAGTTTAGCTGACTTTTCAATAACAGGATTCCTCAAGAACCACAGTACCCATTCAGAGTATAAAAAAACCCCTGAACTGAAATTAAATCTTTTGGACTGTAGGGGAGTCATTAGCATGACGAAATATTTGTCTCTGTCTCTTGAGTTCAGAGTTTAAGTGTCTTTTTCAATTCACTGCAGAGCTTCTTGTGGACTTTTGGCGTGTCATCCATTTGCAACATTGAAAAACGTAGTTCAGAAAACTCCTCATTTTGAGTGGCAGTTTGACTGCCAAAATAGCCAACAGGACATCTAGTTAGACTTGAGAATAACAGTTCTACAGCTTGAGCCTTCTGATTCAAATTGTCAAAGGCCTACCTTGCAAATGATTCATTCTACTCAGACCTCTGCTTCAGGCTCAGAGTGGCTTGGGCAATGCTACAGGTACATGTGTGTTGTGCAACTCCCTGTTGTTCAACATTCTGTGATTCTTAATATGCACATTGGTTAGACCTACTCTAGTTTTGCATACCACAGCAATGCACTCACACTTCTCACAGAGAGCAGAGAGAGGTGTAAGAAGTGCAGCACTTCTGTGCTTCATTTGTGCAAAACTGGGACTGAAATAACATGTTTGAGGATTGCTTAAATCTTATCACCAAAACATTAAATATTTTTCTCTATCAATATGCAGGTTCAACGGTAGAAACTTAAATTTATCTCCAGTTTAAAGTACAAGCAGAGAGGAAATGAGCTGAAAAAAATATCATGTACATGTCTTCACCTGATCACATATATCACTTGCTTGACATTATGGAAAAGTCAATGGCATCCTGCCCACAGAAGAGTCACAAGGCTATGTATATGTGCACATAAATAGAGTAGCTGAGGACCGAGGTACTTGCTCTGCATACTACACTGTATCTCTCACAAACAGTCTTTTCCAAAATGAAATGAAGACAAGTATCCAGCCTCTCCTGGATTCTATACAATTACCTTTCCTGACTAAGCCCCTTCTTTGCACATTATTTAGATTTAAAGATGTCACAAAAAATATTGTGTTTCTAACTGTACTGACATTCAGAGGACCTGATAAAGTAAGTATCAGATGACCGCTGCCCTCTGTTCCCCCCTAAAAAAAAAAAAAAATTATAAATGCCCTAAAATTAATGTTCTTTCCTCTGTTGGAATCTGTTAGTATGGCATATTTTCCTACGTAGAAATCCATTCTCTAGAAATAAAACTGTAGAATTCCATGCTTGCTGATCTTGGGTGCTCATCGTGTATTGGGTTTTTTTCGCTTTTCCTCTGGATTGTTAGTCTGTGAGAAAAACTTTAATATTTGAGGTGGGCTTTTTTCCTGTTGATTCACAAAACACAACTTTACTTAGGAAAAAGAAAAGTGTTAATGCTTTTCTAAATAATACATGGAGCAAGACAGAAATCTTTATATCTGTTCTTATCCATAATGTCCTTACAAAATAGCAAACTGTGATGTTTATAAATAAATAAAAAATCCAGCAACCCTCTTTTACCAGTGAGGAAAACAAATATTGTTCCAAGTGTTCCCAGGGAATGGATCCATTATCAAAAATGGTAAGTGTGTTTGTTTCTTTTCATTTTATGAACCATACGTGTCCGTGAATTTATTAAAAGCTTTCCTAAATTGACAGAATGTACATATCTATTAACTGCTAAGGACTGTCTCGATGTTAGATGAAACTTGTCCCCAGTACAATGATGTTAATTAGTGTTTTGTGGAAGGAAGTGGAACAGTTAGTGAACATATTGTTTACTCAGTGGCCAGGTTTTTTAGTAAGGCCCTGCTTTCTAAGATGAAGAGCTGAGCGAGTAATATTTTTATCATTTCCTTGTTCTACATATGTAAATATGTGAGGAGGATATATACAGAAATAATATACAAGGAAAACTTGTGAAAAGTGATATCTGTAAATCTCCTTCTTAGGTGTTTCCAAGGAGATGATAACTATCTACATGAAGTTAGTGATTAGGATCCTGAAAGTGTGCAGTTTCCAGTAAGTTCTTCACATATGAAACAGCTAAAATAGTTTCAAAAAATGCTTATTGCCTTACTTATCTCTTCTGCTTTTGAAGCAACTCACAGTGCCTTCTTTAGTAGCCATTTTTTGAAAACAAGTTTTATTTTTTATTGAAAAATATTAATATATCTTGCATAAGCAGTTGCAATGGCTCAGATAAGAGTTGTTGGGATCTGAAAATGTGACAGCTTTTCAGAAGCTGGCTGCAGCAGAATTATATGGACATTCTTGTGAATATAATTCAATTTATAGCCTTTATTTAAGGTTCCTAAGGTGTTGCTACGTAGTACAGCTTGTTGTATTTGCAGGGGAAGAGAAGTTGATGGAGGTGATGGAAATCTGTTTTGATTTCAGGTCAGGATTTATTTGTTTAACAATTAAGAATTTTTTAGTTGTTTCTAATTTTAAAGAAAGAAAGTGTGCGGGAGGAGGGAAAGTAGTATTTTTTTCAAAAGTTTACTTGGAAAACTGGAAATTCAGCAAAGATATAGTATATAAGTACATTTTGGGTTCTGTTTTGTCACTTCTTTAAGGATTAAGGGTAGCATCTCATCAGTGACCAAATTATTTAATTCATTACTCCTTTGCTTCTGTATATTTGGTTGGAAGACAGAGTGAAATAAAAATAATAAATGAAAGGAGATATAATAGTTATTTTATAAGAAAGAACAGGACAAAGAATTAAGGAAGTGAGGGAAAATGTAAGTAGAGAAGGAAATGGTAGATACTGATTCTTTTTTCACTGTTTGTAAATTAGCATGTGTAAATAGACTAAGGGAGCAGGAAAGAAAGCAGGGTTTATGCTATATTGCCTGTGCAGCTACAGCACAGTACACTAGTAGCAGTAGTACACCACTACTGTTTGACAAATAACAAAGGAAAGATTATGAATTTTTAAAAAAAATATATTAGGAGATTCCACTGAAAAAAGCACATCGAAAACTTGCCTAAGTGGCACTTAGTACATGTAGACACTTAGTAGAGCTTTCAGGGTTCAAAAAAGAACGAATTTTGTCTTTCAGCTGAGTAGTCTTCAGCTTTCAAAGCATCTTCATGCAGGCCTATTTTGTGCAGCTCCACTCATGAAGTCATTAGGATGATTAGAATTAATCAAAGTGTATCACATACAGAGAGATTGCAGGTATCCACACCACAATGTTTCACTGTGTTGAAGATCACATGCTAATTCTTAAATGTGTTGTGGCCTACAATGTAGTACATATATTATAGTAACTTGGGCAATATATAGTTCATACTTCAAATAGTAGCAGACTGAAGCAAATTATGAAATTTTTATAACTATCCCCAATTTAAATATCTACCTGAAAAAAAAAAGTCTTTGTCATTGTCTGGATCTGACTTTTGTTTCTACCTGAAGAAAAAAACAATGTCATTTTTACCAGCGGTGTCTTTGCTACACAATAATAGGACTGAAGTCATCCTTCAGTTTTTTATTGTGGATACACTATAGGACACTAAACATGTAGAAAGCATGTGATATAAATGTAACAGAAGGCATGCATTATTAATAATTCATATTTACTTGAGGACATAAGATAAATATTTCATTCTTCAATTCCATCATTTCTGTATTCAGACTAAAAAGTTGAGAAGGTACGAACTTTTGTTGGAATGAAAATAGATTTAATAAAGATAAAAGCAAATGTAAAAGTTCAAATAAAAAAGGAACTTAATTTTTAAAATACAATATATTTGGTTTACTTATTTGAATGCAGCAAAATTTTTTCCTTGTAACTTTCTATTATTGTTATCAGTCATTGTTGACTTGATTGAAATAGAAAAATTTGAACTTCTGACCATCTCGTAACTTCATAAATGACAGTTTGTACATTTCTTCCATTTAGAAATTATTACATGTTCATAAACTTTTTCATTGTTTGTTTGACTTAGACATCATCATTAAGGTGGCTGCATTTTTTAAGTTCACAAATACTAACCTGTGTTTTTAATCCAAGTTTGATTTTTCACTGACTATTTAGGTGTTTAAATACAGAGGAAAAACAGCCATCTGTTTTAGCAGGTCTCTATTTAGACTTATAGTCTTTACACAACTTTCCTTGGACATTTTATGTCTTCTAGTAGAAGCTAACTTGACCTCCCCCTTATTGTGTAGAGTTGCATTTGCTATCATACTGAGTCCTGTACAGAGTGATTAGGCTCTCTGATATCTATTTGCAAGAAAACATTACAACTGAACCATAGAACTTAAACTTTCAACCTCTCTGAGAGTCCAAGTAGTATCAATGTAGAAACTATTTCTCCAGTTTGTGTTGCTGTTAATACTGCTGCATCCCAAGAGCAGCCATGAAGTCAC